TCCGGGAGCCAAGTTCAGATAATGTGCCCGGTTTAATAGTTCCCAGCTATTGCAGGGAAATTCGGATGTCAGTCAGAAAACCTCAAGTGTCTGTTTAGAGGATTGAGCTCGTGAGAAATATGACACCTTTTGTGGACCTTAGCCCCTCTGACACAAGCAAGTGGGGAGCTAATTGCCATGTCTTGGAAGATCTGGGGCAAGGTGTGATGAAAATGTATAGTGCTTATTACTGTTCTACCAGCAGCTTAAAAAAAAAAACACGTAATTTTAGATAACTAGCTAGTCGAAGCTCTTCCCCTTTGCCCTGCTGCCTCAGCAGGATGCAACCAGAGAGGAAGCTCACTTTTCCCTTAATTAGTATTTGTCATAGTACCATGTTCTTGGGTGTATCTGAAGACCTGACATCGCAGGAAGGCAGTGTAGATGGTGAAGTTGCAGAGTTAGAAGCATTGCGTGTGAGGGGTGAGTACAGAGGTGACCATATGCTGTTTCCAGGGAAAGGTTTCCTGGGCAGGCTGCCCTCCCTTCCCCCCAGGCATTCCTATTTCCAGCTATTCTCATTTGGCAAGGGAGCCCCTTCACACACTCCTGGGGCAGCTCTTGCGCTTCCCAGGGACAAGGTATGGGGAGAGGAAAGCCTCTTGGTCCCTTTCCCACCCTGCCTATTCCCAGGGACATGTGCGGCTGAGGCATGGGGCCATCCAGGAGCCCATCGTTTGTTCTGGTTACACGTGGACTAGAGCCATGGTGCCAGAGTCGTATGCAGGAGGGTGGTGGGAGAAGCATGGTCCTGGCATTGCATCCTACCTGGCGATGATCTGGGACTATCTGTTCCCTGAGACGCAGGCCTGGGGCAGCAGCAGAGCTTAGAGTGAATGTCTCCCAGGGAAGCTAGAAAGAGTAGGAATGTGAAAGCAGGCCAGAGTATGGGTCCAGAACCCCCCTGGGTATTGCTTCTCTGCTTAAAGGCTGCCAAAGCCCCAGGGTCCAAAATTGATCTTTGGTTTAGATTCCAGAAGAACACTTAAGGTAGGCACAGCTGAAGGCCCAGGGCCTGATCAAGTGACTAATTTGTATGGACCCGTGGGTTAAGGCTTCCTATTAAGTTATCCCATGTTGTTAATAATTTAGCTGAAAGATAGATAGAGCATTTGGGAGGAAAGGCAGTTCGCGTCTCGGGATATTACACCATGAAAGTCATGTTATTTCTACTACAGAGAGCTATCTCAAGCTAATAGATTGAGCTACTGGAGTGATCATTTTGAACAAAGAGAATGGCTGAGAATAATGCACCCAGCAGCATGCTGTTTGGGGTGGGTAGAGAGTAGTAGTTGAATCCTTGGGGCCTTGGGGTCTTGACATGTAATCTCTTTAGTCACTGTCATGCTACATATAAGGAGAAAGATCTGAGGTCTGTGGATTGGGTTCACCGAGACTAATGTCCAGCTTTTGCTTGTTTGCAGTTATTTGATTTATTTTTGATTTTAGTTTTGGGGCCATACACAATGGTACTCAGGGCTTATTCTTGATTCTTTGCTGATGGATCACTCCTGACAGGGTTCGGAGGAATAGATGGAGGGTGGGGAGGGGCAGTGCATTTGATCCCAGGTCAGATGGGGGAGCATGTAGGAGGGATTTGAACCCGTTTCCAATGCGTAAAAGGCATGCACCCTTGCTCTGGCCCTGCAGTGGATTACTCTTAGGTGAGTCATGTGAAGCTTCAGTGTCCCTGTTTGTGAAACAGGAATGGGGATACTCAGTCCACACAACATCCTGTATGCGTGACACGTTCTCCTTGTCCTCAGTAGTCAAGCTTTGGGCCCTTGTCAGTGTTAGGGCATGGTGGCACTTGAGTTGGTCTCGGCCACAGTGATTCCAGGCAATGGAAAGCTCTGGTGGTGACAGCTTCTTTGTTTCAGACTCTGCCTCTGGTGCCAGTTTCTGTGTCCACACAGGAGCACCATGCCCTCAGAGCCAGTCTCAGACTCCTGTGTCTGGGGCTAGATCTCGTCTCATCATTTCACCCCACGTCTTTCCTAGACAGACAGTAAGCTTATTGGCACAGGGAGGTACTGGGCCCTGGTGCCCATCTCACTGAAGCCCCCCCCCCCCCCCCCGCCCTTCCTTTGGGCAGGACTGAATTGACACTTAAGAGGAGAGAAGAAAGGTTTGTTGTGAGTTCATTCCCCCTCTCCCCTCAACATTCTCTCAGGTGCTCTTCTTCCAAGTAAAATAAATCAATATTTACTTCTAAAGTCTTGGTTCACAGTACATTTTTCCCAGTTAAATGAAATCGAAGCAAACAGCAGAAGAAGGAACGAAAAAGGTCTCAAATCTTACTAAGAAAGCAGATTAGGCTAAAGATATTCATAGTTTCCACTCAGGGTAACACTGGCTCCTGGTGAGTTTTATTCATCTGTATCAGTCTTTCGCAAAGTGTGATGTGCTATCTGTGTGTGTGTGTGTGTGTGTGTGCACGCACATGCGCGCACGCATGCTCATACACATAGAGAATTGGGAATTGTAGCAGTGGTTCTGGAATTATCCAGGGGGTGGTAGCAGCCTTGGGTACATTTTTTTTTTCTGTTTGTTCACTTAAGAAAGAAAGATTTCTGGGTGAAGGTGCACTGGGTGGCATTGCTGAGGGATTTTTAAACTTTTGTTTTGTTTTGGGACCACACCTAGTGGTGCTCAGGACTTATTCCTGGCTCTGTGCTCAAGAATGACCCCTTGAAGGACTCAGGGGATGCTATGGAATGCCAGGGATCAAACTCAGGTCAGCCACATGCAAGGCGAGCACCCTACCTGCTGTACCATCACTCCAGCCTTGGAATTTTTTTTTAATATTCTGAAAATGGGGCGGTAGAAAAATATCTGGGAGTGTCTGATCTACATTAAGTATTCCTTTCAGTCTGTAACTGTGGTGCCAGCCTCTGCCCCCCAGAGACCCCTTTTCTGTTTTCCTCCAAGTGAAGCATCCTTCCACCCGCTGCGACAGGGCCCTTCCTGCACATTGTGCCTTCGCCTGGCCGGGCTGAAACCCCACAGGGTCAGCAGGGTCTTTTACAGAGCATGCGAGATGTGTCCCTTCATGCCAGGTGTGGACAGGGAGGTGGGCAAAGGCCACCCCCGTGCTAGATGCCAACTGCAGAGGTCTCCTGAGCTGGAGCTTGCGAAGGTCCTAGAGCAGACCCGCTCCTCTCCTGAGTGTCTCTGCGCTGGCCTCTCGCTTGGCCTCAGCTCCGGGCTCCCCCTCCCCCAGATGCCATCCTTCCCCACTGCCTACACCTGCTGCCTGCTTCTTGGGCCACACCTACCAGCACTCACCATGGGCACCCTTTTCAGCCCCTCCCACTTCCCCCCCCCATACCCACCCCAACTGCAGTATTTCACTGTGCTGTTTCCTCAGCCCCTTACACCATTTCAGCCCCCTCGGCACTCACCTCAGTTCCAGAAAGAGGAGTTTAGGTCAACTGAGACCCAGTCCAATGACAGCAGCCTGTGGAGGGTGAATACCTAAAGAGCCCTGGGAATTCTGCTTGGAGTTTTGACAGGATTCCATGAAGAAAGGGCTCCAGAGGGCAATGATGCCCATCTGCCCACATTGTCTCATTTAGTGCTCCCAGCAAACTCTGCAGTGGACACTTTGTCCTGCTTTTACAATGGAGAAAGTTGAGGGGTGACGGGAAACAAGTTGTGGCCGGGGCTTCACAGCCTCACAGCCAAGAGCCGTGGAACTGATTCTCCACAAGCCTGAAGTTCTTTCCGTCCTGCCACTTTTCCTCTGGGCGGGCCTTTCACGCCCCAGGAAACAAGCTCAGGGCGGGGCCCTACTTTTCTCCTGGGCTTGTTTACTGACCCTTGAGTCATGTTTGTAGCCTTTGAATCTCAGCTCTTCCTCCGGTTCCCCCAGGTCAGTTTCCCTCATCTTCTTACCCGCCTCAGAGAACCGTTGGCATTTAAAATGGGCAGAGTCAGGGATGTGGGGTGTTAACACCAGCTGGAATGTGCCTTGTCTGACATGTGCCTGTTTGTCGCGACTGACGTGGACTTGAGCAGGTCCCCTCCACCCACGCATGCTCCCACTGACCCCCCTGCCCAGCCCAGTGGGAGCAGATTTCCTTCAGAAGGCCTCCTCTCCTGCCCGATATAGGTGTCTGCACTGAGGGATGACACCAGGGGCAATCCATTCTCCTAGAATAATATTATCTTTATACGGAGGAGAAATTCCTTTCCTTCTTACTACCGCTTGGACCAGCAATCAATTTCCGGGGTCCCTCCCCAGCCCCAACCCCACACTGTTACATAAATAACACCTGTGCTGTCCAACCTTCTTACCCTGACCACTCCCAGGAAACCACTTGGAAGAAGGAAATATTTAGACTTTGGGTTTAAACTTGGGTGGCCCCAGTAGCCACACAGCTGCACCCCTGAGTGTGTTGCTTTGCAATATTGAGCTTCGCCCTCCTCACCTGTACACAGGGGTTGCTATCAAGAAGTGAGCAGTCCTTGGAATAGAGAAGGGATCACTAAGGAAATGATGGCTTGAGGAACCAGTCAGGACAAGAGATGTGTGCAGAAAGTAGATAAAGGACCAAACATGATAACCTCTCAGTGTCTGTACTGCAAACCATAATATCCAAAAGTCAAGAGAGAGAGAGTATGGGGGAATATTGTCTGCCATGGAGGCAGGGGGAGGGTGGGAAATGTGGGGGTATACCGGGGATATGGGTGGTAGGGAATGTGCACTGGTGGAGGGATGGGTATCTGATCATTGTGTGATTGTAACCCAAACATGAAAGCTTGTAACTATCTCTCGGTGATTCAATAAAATGAAAAAAATGAAAAAAGAAGTAAGTAGTCCTGAGGGTGGGACAAGCCCAGAGACAAGCTCCTCAAATCCCTCCCTCCCCCCACGACTGCTCCCGAGGCTACAGTTCAGTTGTCACTGTGAGATCTGGCAGTGGGCACCTGTGTAACCTTTCTTTGCCCTCCCACAGGTCACGGATGAGGAGCCGGCATCCAATCACACCGTCATGATCCAGGAGACCCTGCAGCAGGCCTCTGTGGAGCTCGCTGAGGAACACCACCTGGTGGTGTCCTCGGACGACGTGGAGGGCATCGAGACGGTGACTGTCTACACCCAGGGCGGTGAGGCCTCCGAGTTCATCGTGTATGTGCAGGAAGCCATGCAGCCCCTGGAGGAGCAGGCCTTGGGGCAGCCAGCCCTGGAACTCTAGAGGACATGTGGGCTCAGAAGCCCAGGACAGGTCTGCCCAGCTGTTGGCATCAGAGATACCCAGGGCAGGAGGGCACTGACCCATTCTCTCCCTGCTGCCCTCCTTTGGTCTCGCCCTGGCAGCCAGATGGGGTTCTCCTTATTCTGCTTTGGGTCGGCAAGGCCGTCCTCATCACCAGCATTCCAGAACCCCTGTCCCCAACATAGATGGCCGTAGTCTTGACCTGCCTGCCTCAGAGCTAAGACTTGAGACAAGTCTTAGCTACCCAAATGCGGCCCCCGTGGCTTCAAGAGTCCAACTGACTGCGCCTGCCCTCCTCTGCGGCCACCGTGCCACTGTCTGTCAGCATTTTTCCCCTGCATCACACCCCGACTCCTTCCCTCGACTCGGTGCCAACTCATCTGGGTGGCTCAGGCAGCCCGGGGAAAGGAGAGAGCCATCCTAGAGAAAGTGCCCTTAGGATTCTCCAATCCCCTCTAGAGCAGGGAGTGGGCGATCAGGGCTCTGGCTTTATATCAAGTTCTACCCTTTTTACAGATCCAGGGTGCTCGCCTTCATGTGAGGTAACCTCCCCTCTGGCTGGCAGGGTCCCCACTCCCATCACAGGTGGTATCTCCATTGCCACGTTGGGATTCTCTTTAAAAAACAAAAACAAAACCAGACAGATGCACTTTTTTCAACCTGTCACCTCCCACGTGCAGGAGGAGAAGTGGATAGAATCCAACACCTGCTGCCACGGTGCCTCCTTTCCCGTGGGATGGTGTAACCTTCTCCTCCCTAAATTAAAACCTTAGATATGGGCCGCACCTCAAACCACCCGCTCTGAGGCCCAGGCCCTGACAATGCACATGATGAGAGTCTTCCCCATTGATGCTCTGAGCGTCCCTCCTGGGGATGTTCTCAGAGGACTGTGCTTTTACTCTCCCCCCTCATTTCTGGGTCCAGTGCAGACTTTGCCCCAGCAATCAGAAGCCATCGGCATTACCCTCTTTTCACCAAGGCTTCCTCCCAGGTGCTCATGAGACACTGTACAGTCTGTAGTGGATGCTCTCTGCACCGCACATGGAGCATCATGCCACACCCTGCCCAGCCCCTCGTCTCCCACTGTTCTGCTTGTTCAAGGTCAGGATTCATTTGATTGCTTCCTTCTAATGGAATCTTAGGTGGGTCAATGCAGATATTAAGGCAGGTCATATAGCAGCCACTCTGAGTGAAGAGGCCCACAGCCCTTTGTACTTAGCCCTCAAAGTTACTGCCCTCTCAGTCCTGGGATGGGTAGGGGCGCCACTTGAAAGCTACTGCCCTAAGAAGGAAGGTGGTTTCTCAGCCCCATGCAAGAAAAAAGGACTTTGTAAACCAGATAAATTTGACCCCAGTATCAATTGGGATGGGGTAGGGGGTGGGGATGTGGAATCCAAAAAAAAAAAAAAAAGGCCAGGCAGGGGAAAGTATGAGGGTGAATACAATTCATGAGCTATTTCCTTCTGATTGGTGGGTAGCTCTAAAGCAAGGAGTTGAAAGCTCAATTACAAGGTGGAATGCAGAAGAACATAAATCAGAGATGATGGATATGGATTTTCCTCAATAATCATGGGGAGGTGACAGCCTATTCACAGCCCCGGAATGCAAAGGTCATGGAAGCCTTTCAGAGTGAGCAGTCCTGTTTGTGTGCACTGACCGGGGCATGTAGAAATGGTTGGAGGTTCTCAGTAGAGATGGTTCTCTGCAGCAGATTGGAGGCAGAGAAGCTAACCTTAATCCCTACTCTCTCACTTCTTCTCTGAGTCAGACTTGGTGGGTTTCTATGTCTATCCAAGTTTTCATTTGCTCATCTCTGAAATGGGACTGATGTAAATAATCTTAGGAGTCCTAAGATTATTGACTAAGCAAAAGCCACAAAGCCATCAGCAGGGTATCTGGCCCAGAAACTGTAATTTTAAATTATTTATTCATGTACTAGGCCAGAGGAGACATAAACGTAAATGTCCCTTAGACTCTGCCCTCAAAGAGGTCCTGATCCAGTGAAACAGGAATAAATGTACAGGAGGCAAAGAGTCCCCTCACTGTGCTCCAGGAGACACGGGAGCAAAGGAACCTGGTCTTCCTTGCTCTCTTGACATGGGGAATTGGATCAGAACTGGGGAGGTCACATGACACCAAGGAGTGGGTACCCTTCATGCCAGCCTCTTCACAGCTGTACATGATTATTTATGAGCTTCAGCTCCAACATGTGCCACTCCTTTGTACCATCAATGACCTAAAAATCATTCAAAGATCTTGTTCTAATTTATAAATCACCTGTGAAGAATGAACTCTCTACCAGTCTAGTGTGGAGAAGGCAAATGGTGAGTATCTACTGGGAATCTGTCTGTAGTCCGGTCTGGAGAACTTGAACATAGGTATGAGGGGAAGTGGCTTGAAATGTCCTAGGTGGTCACAGGGCGTCATGTTTGGCGGGTGAATGAGGAATCCTGATTCTGTACTTATTATCTATGTGATGTCGACCCAGCTTGATAACCCGTGTGAACATCTGTGTCATCTACAAATTGGGAAAAGTTATTTCATTCCTTTTGCCTCTGTTTTCAGGACTTACCATGACAGCATATGTTTTATACGGTACCCAGTACATTGTGTTGTGCATATTAGGAACACAATAAATATTTATTTTCCTTTCTGTTGTTCATGGGTGAATTCTTTAGTAGAGTCCCAAGATAAATGACAAATGACAGCTTAAATTGGGGGTTGTCATTCTCTGGCCTACGGGCAAAATGAGAGTGATGTGTGTCTTAATTGTCTAACCTTGTGCTAATCTTTGTTCTTTCTCCTGGACCCACCAAAGTGCCTGATGTGCATTCATACGCATTGATTCAACAAAGACTAATCAGTTCTCTCCAGTGATCAGGTACCTGACTGTGAGTCAGAACACAACAATGTCACAAGTTCCTGGGCCTCAAAGGATTCACTCTTGAGTCAAAGGGCAGAGGAATAGAAGGTGATGGAGAGACTGAACAGCTCCGAGAGCACAGTAGGGATACCCATAGCAAATACCATGGAAGGGCATCATGACACGAGGCTTAAGTTGAGAAGGCAAATGCTGGGTATCTACTGAATCTTGATTCTGTACTTATTCATGATCTGTCCAGAAATAACACGTCAAGGCCAAGAGCTAGACCAGCCCAGCAAAACGTTGCAGGTGTCCTGTCACTGACTTCCATCACCAGCATATGTGGAGATCCGAGTTTTTCCCTAACAAAGGAGAGCAGCCAGGGTGGTTAGGAGACTCGCCTGCAGTCTAGAGCCAGTAAGCCAAAGACCAGAGCTGAGACGTGGGCTTTGTGCCACCTACTCCTAAACTTGATGTTGCAGCCATAGCCTTTGAAGTCTGGGTCCATCTGGCAGAGAGCTACGCACCCCTGGAGAGGAAAGTGGGGCACAGATGTCTAAGTCTAAAGTCTTACTAGGCAGGGAGAGAGGGAAGGAAGAGGGACAGAGGGGTAAAGGAAAGAAATTTGTCATTTGGTGCCATTCACAAGTTTACGCAAGGTTCTTTCCTCTCTGAGTCATCGAATCAACCTGCAGTGTTCTTCCCAGGGAGCATTTGCTCACACAAGATGTGAAGTGTTAATACAGTAGTCCCTAGCCACTGCCCTCCAAAAAAATCACTGAAAACACAGTTGAAGAATTGTCTGTTTCAGAACTCCTCTTGATTGGGTTTGGGGGATCCAGAGAAGGGCCTGGTTTCCTAAAATAGTTTCCTAGGGAGCTAATGCTCAGTGGCAGGGTGGGATGTGGGCTTTTCTGGGCCACATAGTACATTCCAACAATTTCTCAGCTGTTCTTTGTGTGTGTGTGTGTGTGTGTGTGTGTGTGTGTGTGTGTGTGTGGTTAAAGCCACTCTTGTATTATATCTGCTATGCAGAACCAACTGTTAAAATGTGAAATGCTTTTTGATCCACCTTGTCTTTTATGCCAGGAGAAGTGAACTTGTGCTGAAAGGCCAAATGGGCCCTGCCTGCCATTTGACACTGTGTGCTGAGCCCCTGCTGTGTGGCAGGTACCATGTCTAATGTGCATCTTTAATGTGCAATAATAATATCACTTTCATGTGCATCTTCACATCCCGTCTTCCTACCTACCTGTCTTAATGAGATGGATTCGTGGGCACTTCTTTCTTGCTTGCTCTATGCAGGGGTATTGGAAGCTCTTCAGTTCTTGTTGCAAAATAGCAGTTTTACTCACGGAGAATAGCACCACAGAGAGGTTAAGAAACTTGCTCAAATCACAGACGGTAGCAGAATTTGAACTCAAGCAAGATCTGCTGTCAGAGTCAAAGTGCCCCCTGCCACTTTCCCCTCCACCTGCCCTGACTAACACGGTGTCTGAGAGAGATGTGTGTCAGGGACTTGAAGCCAGGATGAGGGTTCTGTTTCTTAAACTATTGTGCCTTTCTTATTCCCTGGGCCAGACTCCCTCTGTTATGTTTGAAAAGCAGAGCAAAGAAATGGGGTGGGAGGAACAAGGGGAATGAGAACTATACCAAATGCTTGTTTGGCACAAAGGCAGGAAGCCAGAGTGGGCTCCATGGGTCAAATGTCCAGAAACCAGGTCGCTGGGGGACAAGAAAAAAATGTGAATGGGCCAGGGCCTCTCGGAGGGGGCAGGTGTGTCTCTCCATTAGCCCCAAAAGAACCCTGGCAGCCACAAACCCCCAGAACCCAATCGCTGCCAAGCTCATGGTCAACCTTCTCAGGCTCACCCCAAGCCCCCCGCGTATGAGATTGAAGCCGCTGAAAAACCCTGCTATGTGGGACTTGTGACTGAAATCTCCAGGCTTCCGGAGTCGGAATAGCCCCTCCTCTCTTCTCCCTGCACTTCTGCTTTCCTGGCAGTCATGCCCACGAACTGCCTCTGGGCACCGTTTAAACACGTTAACAGCCATCATCCAGATGCACAAATGAATCTCAGAAGAGAGCAGCACGCTGCAGAGATGCCTCAGGACTCCAAAATAACCATCCGGTTAAAAACATTTTAAGTCCATCACCCTATGAAAAAATTTCAGAATTCCAGA